AAAATCAAAAAAAAGAAAAAAAAGGAAAGAAAAGCATTAATCAAAATGAATAAAATTACAAACTTCTTTTTTCTAATATTCCGTGATTTTTTGTGCCGTATAAAATTCATTACAATATTACATAATATTGTCAACAATTATGTGTTACGTACAATTTGGATAATTAGGAGAGTATATATGTATATTATCGATCCGTTTTTTTTCTTCCACTTTTCTAATCTTTTTTTAAATAGACGCAACAAAGTAGTCTTTTTTTTTTTTAAATTATTGATCGTAAATTTTAATACATTCATTACGAAAAGAAAAAACAATGTTTGAACCTTATGAAATTGATGCCCCAATGAAGACCGCTATTTCGTGATTCATTACCTGACGTTGTTATTTCTTTCATATAAACACCATGACCGGTCCAAATAACTAAAATAGCAATCATTCATGTCTGCATAAATTACGAAAAAGAAAGAAAAAAGCAAATATTACAAATAACTTATTGTATTATTAAAAAAAAAAAAAATTATTTATTATCAAATATTTCTAATAAAAAGATAGCAAAAATAATGAAATATCAAATCAATGATTAAATTTAATTTTTATTAAATCGATAATATGATATTTTCAAGTATTTCAACGATTGTTATAAAATTTAAAGCAAGTTAACTAATAATAACATTGATCTAATCTTAAATATTTATGTAAAGTTAACTTACGAGAAGCTGCAAAACCCATTAAAGCAGATGTAATATAAAAGATATAGCTGTTGATAAGCATAAATGCAAGCATAAATGTTGTATACAATACGCTTGCAAAAAACATTGCCCATTTAGCTGTCAAATAGCTTACCACAAATGGTGCAATAAACGTTGATAATGTAAAAGTAAAATAGGTAATACACATCCTAAATTAAATTACTTATAACTTTTTCGTAAAATTTGTTAAACGTTATTAATTAATAGAGAAAGGAAAAAATAATAATTGATATTTTTTCGCAATGTCAAATATTATATATTCTCGATCAATTCATTAAATGATTAAATGTAAATTAATTGAATTAAAATATTACATGCTAGAAACAAAATATTTAATCATTCAAAAACGGTACTCACGAAATCATTTACTGTTTATTTGCTTCATTATTATTTACATTATATATTTATAGTATTACTTGTAGCAATTAATGATTTATTGTTTATTTATTTCATTGTTTCATTTATAATACATGGTGAATTTTTTAAACTTAAACTTTACATGAAGTTGATTTGTTTCATGGATATATTTGGAAACAAAAATTTTAAATGATTTTTTTTTTAATTTTTGATGGAATTTTTTTCCAAACCATTACTAAAAAATAATTGAAATTTTGCTAATAAAAGACTTATTTTTGCTTATTTATTATTTTGCTGAATTAAATGAGTTTATTTCTATCAAAATTTGATAAATAAATTTAATATTGAAATGATGGAAAAATGAAAATTCACCCATAGTATCCAGCATGTGCTGATATTCGATCGGGATATTCATTCGATATTGATTGCAAGACAGTCTCAGTGATAAAAGCTTGAGTATCAAAGCCGGTAAATACAAACATAAATGCCATACCAAACATAATTACACATAGTAATTCAGAATTTGAATTAATTTTGGCATAAAGTTTGCTTGTCATCTCATTCATTTGCAAAATTTTGATGAAATTTTAAATCTACAAAGCGACAAAATTATTTGAAATTTTCTGATGCAATTTTTTTTAATCTATAAAATCGATAAAATTAATTTGATAATATCTTAAAATCAATCAATATTGCTATCCGTTATTATAGCAGTGTTCTTTTTTTAAAAGAAAAAATCAAAATTCATCAAAACAATTCTTTACTGAAATAGAGTAAAGCCATTAAAGTGCAAGAAAATTATTTGATAATGGAGAAGAAATTCATCTCAGTGCTTATATTCAGCTAAAAGAGTATCTTGAAAAGATTGTAATTTCATTATCACATTAACACATCATCAATTATATTTTTAGTGCTAAATTTACATTGTCAATTTCAAAACTTTATACTCGAAAATTCGATTAGCAAAAATTGTTATGCTTACTTATATTTTTAATTTATATGTTTAATGAACTTTGATTATTCCTTATATCAAAATAAATAAATGTTCATAAGCAAAAAATTTTATTACAATGAAATTAATTAGACGCGTATAACTTGATCGAAATTACTAACTTGATTATTGTTAAATGTACAAATATAGAAGACATTTCAAATTTATTTTTAAGTAAAACTTATCATCTTAGTTGTTCGTATCATTACAATCATTATTGCTATCACTATTATCACCTTTTTCTCCTCATTCACTCATAACGAAATACTCACATGTTAGTTTTATATAATATCAGTTGATAACTATTTTCTAATTAAAATTTACATTCTTTTAACTTTTTGATGATAACAACTTTTTTTGCATAATTTATATTTTCTAATTGTTTCATATAAAACTGAAAATTGTTTCTGCAATTGATTGTAATTTAACTAAATTGATTATTAATTTTACTAGACGAAATCCTAGAATCTTAGTCCTTTACAGTTTCGCTATTGTAGGATTCAGATGATTTACGTGCGTCTTACGTATGATTTTTCTGATGGATCACGGAAGAGAATGGATGAATCAGAAAACGAAATGATCTTTTAATTCTTTGATTATAAAAGAAATTCTTTCTATTCTTTTAACATACGTAAACTGAAATGTTTTTCCAAAAAACAATCAGCGTACTTCCATATAGTAATATTCATCATTGAATAAAAGATTTTGCAAGAAATAAAAATGAAACAAATAAAAAAAAACGAACTGACAAAAATGGTTGCAAAAAATTTATTCTTCTGTATTGATTGGACTATTATTTAATCAAAAATTCGCTGTAAAATTCTTCATAAAAATTATTTTAT